CAATTTCAGTTCTTAAATTCATTAATCAATCCTTTCATTTATGTGATAGGCCTGCATTTAAAATGAACATTTACCATAAATTAAAGGTATCTTATATTATTAGATATATTATTATAAAACATGCTTTAATTAAGGAGTTATTGATACTTCAAGTGCAAAATGATGATATAAAACCTTGATAAAAAATGCACTTTTAAGTACTAATCAGCGTACAACGAGTAGAGGCATTAATGCTTTTTAGGTAGTGTATACGACTCTTCTTAACAGTCAAACTTCGCCGTCTATGATGACGTTGGAAGCGTCACACCATCCTTTCTCCGATGGTCAAGCTCATGTTCATGGTGGAACAATGGTTAAGCTTTGTTGTTATCTAATTTTTGAGATCCCCACACAAAAAAAAAGGGAAAAGAGAAAATACAAAAAATAAATAAAAAATTATTGGAAGAAAACCAAAAAATATATAAGTGGGAAGAGGATACCAAAATGCCTAGAAAATAGCCAAATATTGGTTGAGGAGGATAAAAAAAATACAAAAATTGAAATTGAACAACATATTTTTTTACTAATGAAGGCCCTATTGACAAAAAAATTTAATTTGAGAAAGAAAAATTTTAAATTAAATATTTAAAGACGCAATTACATTTTGTTGAAGGTTTAATTAACCAAATTTGGGTCTTGGGCCTAAGTAGCACAACCCTTGGGCTAAAGGTGTGTTTTATAGACACGCCCTAATATCTTTCCTTCGGTTTTAAACTCGCTTTATCTTAGAATGTGGCCAAACATGTCCTTAAAAAACCTAAGAAAATTCCCTTATTCATGAACCATTTTGAATTTATTTATGGATACCTTAAATGTCTTCCTTAATTTTATAATTCATATTGAGACTGTGAATTTATACTATAAGATACTGATCCCATATCAAAGTATTTGCTTTCTGATAAAATTTCATAAATTTAGAAATTCTCTAAATTAGTTAGAGTGCTAATACCTTCCCTTTACACAATTATTTCTTTTTCCCAGACTCTGATACCAGTTAGGATCCCTAATGATCAAAATATTAGGTGGCTACTCTCTTTTCCTTTTTCTATTAATAAACGACAAGAATTTCTTGTCCTTTCCTCCCAAACCATTTCTCGATCATTTCCTGATCTAGAAGGATGATTATCGCAATACCACGTAAGTGCAATAAACTCTAATAAACGTTTTTCTTTTCCTCCATCTTTTTTTTCTCATCGCCTCAAATTTCTTACTAGCCCTTCCAAAAGTTAAATGTATCTTGTTAGTTTGTATTTGTATCAATTTTGATCTTTATTTATCTTATTATTACCTGTTTTTCTTCTAATGTTTTTATTTTTAGTTTTTTTTTTCAATTTCTTCCTTCAACATGTTATTTCATTTAATTCTTGTATCCAAATTGGTCTCCATTCATTTAATTGCTTTATTTATTTATCATTTTGTTGATTTATTTTATTTTTAATTTTATCTCTTAATATTTAATTTAACTTAATTTTTGTATCCAATTTGGTCCTCAATTTTTTGTTTACTATTATTTTTTTAAATTTTGGACGATTAATTTTTTTCATGATTTTCTCTTGTTTTCCTTCCATAAAATAATCTCGGTTTCATGATCTAAGTTACTAGTTTTAAAGATTAGTCTAATTTAACTTCAATATTTTTTTAGATTTTTTTGTTACTAAGTTACTAGTTTTAAAGATTAGTCTAATTTAACTTCAATATTTTTTTAGGTTTTTTTGTTAAATTAATTTTTCTTTTAATTTTATCATTAAATATTAGGTTATTAGACCTTCAACGTCATTAATTTTTTTTATTTTTTATGAGGTTATTGTGATCTCATATCTTAGGTCTCAAGTTTGTCAATTAAACACGAATTAACTTCATTTATTTATGTCTTTTAAAAGTTCACAAGTTCTTTAATATATATATATATATATATATATATATATATTAATTTTTATATTTTTTTTCCTTTCATCATTTAGTTTATTTGGGAGTTGATTATTGTTTTTGTTTTAATTTTTTTATATAAAATTATTTGAGACAATTGAGCTATGAATTTGGCATGCTGACTCGAGTTATTGTTTTAAATATTTTTTTTCTTGTTCGATTTTCAATGTTTGATTTGCTTGTAATTAAGTTTTGATTTTTTTTTATTTTTTTTACAATGCTATCTATTTCTCTTTTAATTATTATTTTGTTATCAATGAAATTTTTTTAAATATTTAAAGAATATCTTTTTAAAATATTAATATATATTTATTTTTTCGTATTAGTCATTGATATCCTTTAGGTTATTCGAATTAATAATTGATCCGTACTTTTCTTCGCAATTTGAAAATGCTATCATTATCATCTTTTTGTTTTTTTTTTGTGGGTAAAATAGCACGGGCAATTGGATCCATTTTTGGAAGTTGATTTTAAGAGAAAAAACATATACAAACAGGGACAGCAAACAAACAAAACCAAAACAAAACCAAGAAAGGGAATGGTACATTCTTCTTCTTCTTAAAAGAAGCATGCTCTGCAATTGGTTTAAATCTTAAACAAGCTTAGGCCAAAGAAAACAGTCTGTTTGTCTTGATTTGCCATGTTTGAAACTGTGCAAGAAATTGCTGTTTGCATTCACAGGTTTCACAACCTCGACCTTTTCCAACAAGGGTAATGATGCTCTTTCCATTTCTTCTCAATCATGTTCTTATATTTCTTTTCCCATTTTAAAAAACCTCTTTTCTGGGTTGTCTTTTATTTTTTGGGTGTTTAGGTGGTATCAAATAAGGATCAGCATGAGATGGGAAGATAGAGGGTATACTTCTTTAGCAACCCCTGCAAGGGTGGTTCAATATGAAGGTAAAAGCTTATTCAACTCTTCATGCTGCTATTTTCTTCTTTTTCTTCGTTTCTGTTTCTAGGTTTTCTTTGTAGGTATAAAAAAGTTTGCCTGTCGTAAAAAAGGTGGGGACTTTTGCTGCTTTTCTTGCTAATCAACCACAATTCTTGTGCACGTTACAAACCTCAATAAACTCATAATTTCCTTGGTTTTGTGTCTCTTGGTTTTAGTTTTTTCCCCATATTTATAGAATATTTCACTTGGAGCAAAAAGGTGTGAACTTTTGCTATATTGCTGGTTAATCAACCACAATTCTCATTCACATGTATTGTGTTTGATAATATGATTATGATTATTTTAAAGTATTGTATTAAAATAATATTTTTTATATTTTAAAAATTATTTTTAATATCAGTGTACTAAAATGATTTTGAAAACATAAAAAAATATTAATTTAAAGTAAAGAAAAAAATAAAAAAAATTTAAATTTCTTCAAAAGTATTTTTAAAACAAAAAAATAAATAGAACTTGAAGAAAGTTTGTTTATTTGGGCAAATTTAATAACTATGAGAAGGAGCTTCTTAGGATGTCTATGTAACAATAACTTGTTTTCATATTTTATATGCTTTGGTGTTGTTATTGTTCTTGCTCAGAGATGCAATTAGCTTTTGTGAGTTTTTTCTGTGCTCATTGTTTATGGTATGAGCTAAGAAAGAAATGATATTTACTTGAGCCACAGCTCCTGATCTGGGTGGTGAAAACGTATATGGGATATGGAAGATTGATGATACAGATAATAGTTTCTTGACGCAGCCTTTTCGGATTAAATATGCAAGACAAGATATTCGTTTATCTATCATGATCTCGTTCACTCTACCTCTCGGTGAAAATGAGGTAATCTACACTTCTCTCTCTCTTTCCATCTCTCAGTATGTGTGTGAGCGTGAAGCTTACGTGCCTTATACAATAAGCTTTCCTTCTTAACTCATATAGTTACAATTAGAGTAGAAAATGCTGCAGAATGTTGCCTCAGTCAAGGGAAGTGAAACCAACTCGAAGACAAACGAACAGCTCTAGAAAACATGATTTACTATAATATAACAGAATATAGTATCTTTATGTATGGTCTCCTACTCTGCTTAGTGTTTTTGATACCGCCTATCAAGGTTGTTATATATAGCTGGTCTGCATCCAATATGAAAGATGCCTGGTGACAGAGAATCGTTCCTGTGAAAGTTTCTTCTATGTACATGTCAAAACTCCACCACCTACATTATGATATTGCATCATTGCTTTCATGATGATTAGCACTCTGTCTTGTGAAATCATTCCTTTCTTTCTTGTGGCTTTCCTGAGAAGGTCATTGGAGATCACAGGGCCTAAAAACCCATGGATTACTTGTCTGTATCAGAAAGCATTGGAATGTTGCATTTCTTAAAACTAACAAGATTGAGGAACTGCTTTCAAAAACCTTTCAACCTCAGCTGTTCCAGAAAGGGGGTGAAAAATATTATTTCCTTCTGATTCTTCAAAACAACAGCACTCCTTTAACCTGGGATTTAATGAAAATACTCTAATATCTTCACTGCATATATTTATTACAATTTTGGTACTGTACATGCCAGCTTTAAATTTACTGATGCTGATGTTTATGGTCTTCGAACTGATATGGTGTGCAATTTGCAGGGTCCATCCACCTCTGCTGTTATTTTGAAATTTGAGCTTATGCAAGCTTCCATAACAGAGAGCATGTATGTTGAGGGATTTTGTTATTTGATTCTTGAATAGAATGATTTGTTGTTTTTTCTTACCCACTCAATGTTTTTGGATTAAATTAAGATATTCTACTGATTGATAGGCACACTGTGCAGGTTTATGGCTTATCCCAATGCTTCTTCTGTTTCGGTCCATGAATTTCGAATTCCTCCTAAAGCTCTTCTGGGATTGCATTCATATTGCCCTGTACACTTTGATGCATTTCATTATGTGCTAGTTGATGCAAGCGTGCACACCACTCTAATGACAGCTGGTTCTTTCATGAAGGTACCCAGGTTTGTCACATTTCAGCATCTAATTAAGCAACCTGGTCATGATCGCATTTTGACCTTTGTTGCCTAATATAACTTGATGAGTTGTATCTTGCAGTGGTTCTTATGGTCAAGATGTTGCTGGCAAAATTAGTGATGGAATCAACCAAGTATGCTCTTATACAATGGATAATCTTTTGCATGCTTTTATCCACTCTGCTTAGCTTTGTGCCTTCATGCATTATCTTATTGTTAAATTGCTAGATTTTGCTTCTAGCACATCTGATTTGTGATGATAGTATTTACTTGCCACAACACTTTTGCACAAGCGTCTGTATATTTGAGTGAATACACTACTTTTGTTCATACATTCATGTGCATATGTGCAAATTTGCATACTGTTTTCTGCAAAACTTGCAGTTTACTCTAGCCTGGGTTTTGTCCTACTGATGAGAACTGGTGTACTGTCCAGAAAAGCAATTGGTTGGGTGGGTTGGCTGTGACAACTTCCTGTTCAACTTTGTAGTAGAGCTTTCTGTCACTCCTTCGGTTTTTGTTTAAAAAGATACTATAAGGAGCTCCCAAATTGCTTCAATAATGAAATGTGTTAGAATAACTTCATAATTCTTTATCTGCCATCGACAAAGTATTCTTCGATTCCTTTTTCCACAGGTATCCAGAAATTGCATTTTGTGAGATATTGTAGATCTTTTTACAAGTTCATTCCTTCCCAAGTGCAACAAGAAGGAAACATCTAGATTCACCCAAATAAGAAACACCCTAGAAACAAGCGGTGCCTCAATGGATGCTTAAATGATAGTTAACCATTATGCAACTTGTAAGCATATAACACATTTTTTTCCTTTTAAGTTTAGTCTTTTTCCTGCAAAAGATGATTGATGAGAAAAATTCTAAAACTTCTGCTTTAAAGAAAGTACAGCTTAAGAAAGTTAAAGGTTCTGTGTGGTTGAAGCCCAAAGTTTTGAAGGTGCAATCACATGTTTGGATTTGAAACATGCAGTTATCCAGGATGGAGGAGCCTGTTCTTTAGCTTTATTCAGTTTTTGTGATATTCTCATGGATTGAAATTTTAATTTTGTGATTGGCCAGGCATTAGGTGAAGTGGCTTCTTTAGATACAAAAAAGATCATGCTTGTTAAAGCATTGTTGGTTTCCCGTGATACATTGCTTGAAGAGCTACAAAAAATCAGCAAAGGCATTGGACATGCTATTGATTTATCTGATTTTATCTCCAATATGGATGATATGAGGATGTTTGATTCTATCATGCAAGGAAATCTGGGTACTGCAGATGGTGAAGTTTCAGGACAAGGAAAGCCACATAATGGTCTTGAGGTCCTTCCTATAATTTTTATAGTTAACACATTTTGATTTTACTTTCAGTTTGAGTGCTTTCTTATTTACTTAATACTTTTGTCTCTTCTTGGAAAGAAAGCAAATGGCACTGCAGATTTTCAAAGTGATAATTTGCCCCACATTTCAACGAAGGCTGTTGTTGTAAACATTTTTCATTCATTGGGTGCTCAACTATCGTATTTATGGAAGATTTTTTTGCGGTTCCACAGGTTTGCTTTTCCACCAAATTGACACATTGAGTTAGAATTTTTTATATTTTCCTCTTCTAAGGTAAGGATATGATTCATTTAGCAAGTTGTTGACGTGACCTTTCTTTTAGGTACATCACAACTGACCGTAGCTATTTAACCATAAAAATTACTTCATCCCTTGCATTTTCTTAAATGCTTCAATACTGACAGTACAGTTTGCTTGTTGAAGAACAGTGCAGACACTGATTTTTGGTGTGGTTTTAAAATGGATAGTATATTCCTATGATCGAAATTTGTGAAATCTATGATGGACAAGCTTGCAACTACCGTGATTCTTATTGGCATGAAAATTCTCATTTTAGCGACTCCACTTAAAATGATACAGCCAAAAATGAATTACTTAGCAATAATGGACTTACCCACCTGTGGAATGTGTTTGCCATTGCTATAAGTTCATGCACTGGACAACATTCAGGCAGAAATACTTTCTATGGTTGTTCTTGATGTCCTTGTGTTTAAAATGGTTGGCAGACTCAATGGTGAAAATGAAAAAAATATTTTGGTAAACTGGTATAGTTAATTTATTACAACTATTTGATACCATATTTGTTGGCAATTGTTTGTCACATGATAGGAGGGTTGTCTGGGCACATGCTTAGGAGCATATGACCACTTAAGTTACTTGGCTCATATAATTTTGAACTTTTAAGGTCTCTTGCTGGTGGAAACATACTAAAAAAATTTATAGAATGATGGTTGCTTGACACATATGGAAACAATATAAGAAAGATAGCAAGCAAGCAGCATAGAATTCTGCTGAATAGGGCCATCACATATAAACCTTAATTCAAATTTTATTACTAAAAATTTTATCAAATCAAAATTCAATATTACAGCTCTCCTAGGTTGCTTATATACTAGTAAAATCATCTTAAACAAAGCTAAAAACATAATATTAGAGTTCTAAAGTAAATAAGAAAAAGGATAGGAAAATATGGTAAATCCCGAGCTTAACTTTTGAGCTTCATTTGAAGGCTTGCCTGACCTCTAATGACTATGAAATTTTTATTCTATATGAAACAAAACCTCTAGAATCTTATAACAATTTTTCAGCCTTTTAGGATCTAAAGTTATGCTCCTTAACATAAGGTACTAGGAAAAAATCTCCTATATTAGTCTCTCCATGTTGGAAAGAACTTCTCCTTGAGTTTTGGCCATTCCTTTGCCAACACTATGTTGTTGACCATGAAAAGCAATGTTAGCATCTTTGTGCTCTATTGACCTCTGGCATGCTTACACTGAATAGTTAACCGACTCAAATAAAGTATGCCAAGAATCAATTCTCAAAACACTAGCCATCAATGGCTTTTTCCATACCATACCTTTTCTCATGTTATTTTGATTCTCCACTTTCCTTCCTTTTCTCATCCTTCTCCATAAACTTTGATAAAAGCATGTTTTTACACTTGCTTTCAACAATTGCTCTCTCTCTCTCTCTCTCTCTCTCTTGTCTGGGCACTAACACTATATGCTTCTCCTTTACACAGAAGGTATACATGTTACATCCTCTGTCATGTATAACATTTCTGTTATATTACCATAGCCTGCTTGATAATAGATGATGTGCATCCATAAAAACCGCATCACATGAAACACTATTAAAATATCTCTTTTCTTTATAAAACAAAACAAGACAATGTTTTTTCATGATTACCTTGCTATCTTGATTCATTCAGTTCAGTTTATAAGGTTTTAGGTGCTTTTCTATTTTGAACTGCAACTGCTCTACTACCTTGGTCGACACCTCATTCTCACAGCCATCGTTGTCGATGATTAGACTACATATCTTATCCTTGTGGTACAATTTGAATAAAAAAGACTAGTGTATAGTCAATCCTTGCCTGAATCACCCTTAGAAGCAAGCAAGCTCTTTTGGATGACTAAAGTAGCACTATCATTATCTTGCCAATCCTCCTCGCTACCATTGGAATCATGATATGCAAGATGACTCGACTTCTTAATAGGTTATTCTTTTAACAAATTTATACTTGGATGACTCTCTCGTTCATGAGACTTAGAAATTCAATGCCCAAACTCACCAGATCTAAAACACTGAAATTTAAAACAAATTCAGAACCCTGACATGTGGATTGTTTAGCTATCAATTCAGACCGAATAAACGATTTATGGCCAATTGTGTGCATTTCTCTATTATTGTGATAAAAACTACAAATGTAACATATCCTAGTTAGGTTGTCGTAATCCACTTAGGTATCTTGCAACCGACTGCTTTTTTATTTTTGATAGATCATTTCTTAGCCACAATTTGGTAGAAATAGTCAATGAATTTATCAATAGCCCTCTCACCTTGTCTCAATGTATGAAGTCGATGGTACAAAGTTTGAGTTTACCTAAAAGGAAGAAAATGTCCCTTCCATCTTTTTCTTCATCTTCCAATTACTAATATTTTGTTTGCCTTGTCTTTTCCCATACCTCTTCAATTGTTCCTACCAAGCGAAAGTTCACCCCTTTAATTTGATGGCAATTAGCTTCTTCCTGATATGCTAGGGCACTTCCTTGTACTTGAAAATTCTCCCTACTTTATTCAATCATTCAATAAACTTCAAGCTTGCAAGGTTCTCGTGAATTCAGGGAGTTTTATTTGAAACCCTAAATTTCCATGATACTCATCACGATCAAATGGTTGTCTTCTTTACTCTTGCCTCTGAAACGAGTTCTCATTGCTGGTCATGGATTCGTAATCATTATTTCCACATATTCTCACTTATGCCAATTGACAGGTCAATTCTGCAAAATGTCTTTGCTTGTCTTTTATCACCGGTTACTCAATGTTTCTTTTCCGACAGGAACCTCTTCATCCATTTTTGTATGAATATGTCTTTTTTTGTGACCTCTTCCATTTGCGTTATTCAACAACAAACAATAATCATCAGGAATCGTTGGGCTTTGATATGAACTAACACAGATATGAATAATAAAGGAAAGACAATAAGCATAAACAACACAAAATTCTGTTGTTTAGGACAATTATGTGAAAGCTCTAATTTAAAATTTTATTACTAAATATTTTCTCTAATCAAAACTTAATATTATAGCTCTCATAGGCTGCTTATATATATATATGTTAGTAAAAACATCCTAAATAAAGTTCAAAAAACAATAAAAGAGTTCGAAACTAAACAAGAAAAAGAATTCTATATCGATTAGGAAAATATGATAAATTCTGAATAGTAACTTTTGAGCCTGATTTGAAAGCCCTGCTGACATTTGATGACTACAAAATTTTAACTCTATATAAAACGATGACTCTAGAATCTTTTAGCAAAATTTCAGCCTCGTACAATGGTCAAATTTAAAACTATGCTCGTTAACATAAGGCTCCATGCTAGTGAAAAATCTCCTTCATCACTATGGTTCATTTTCTCATCTCTTTCTCCCTCTCATCAGTTGTTCCCTCCTACCAAACTGCATCTTCCTTTTCTTTTTGTTGGAACTCTTCCATCTGGCTTGTCAAATGAGGATTCTTGTAAATAACTTCAATGTGATCTGAAGAGGCAACAATGCATGACTTTCATCTCAGCAATTGTTGGAAAATTGAGCTTTTCTTTCATGCTGTTAAAATTTTATTCATGACGTCCACCTTAGGGTGTTTCTATAATTGTCATGGAATCTCAAGGTCAAACTTGGGAATTTTGAAAATTGAAGCCTGAAATTTAAGCAGATGCAATTCTCATGGTGCTTTTCATAAACTGTCCCAACAGTTTTATTAATGTTGTCCTCCTTAAGGTGTTTTTGGTAACTGAGATGGAACCTCAGGGCACAAACTGCAAAGTAGAGGTTTTCTTAAATTAAGACCCAAAATGTGACCAGGCCAACTGCAGGATTTCACTTTGCATGTTTTCTTAAATATTTATGATAACCTATCGGTCTTCCTTTATAATGGATTTGATTTATGCTTATTGTTGGTTGCATTTAGTAAAATGATTGGTTGATTCAGATTCATCAACTTTATCTGCACTGTTTTAACTACTGACCTTTTTGCTTCATTCCAGGGCAAACAAAATAACAATACTGGAGTTTCTGCGTGATGTGTGGACTAAAGATCGACGAGCTGAGTGGTCGATCTGGATGGTGTACTCTAAGGTTGATATGCCCCATCAGTACATAAGCAGTGGAACTGATGATTCCTTCTATCATGGCCATAGAAGATCTTCAAGTGTGTTGAATGTAAATGTTTTTATTTTTCTGCCCGTTTCTTGTTTTTTTCTCTTCTATAGACTATTAGTCTTTTTTTTTACTATCAGTAATAAACACCATTATTTTTTTAATTCCATAGTCTCCAAGTCACAATTTTTATTTTCTGTTCTGTACAGCCTGCCCAGAGTGCAGCTACACGTGCTGACCTTCATCGGCAAAGTATTGCCCAAATGAGGGTGAGTTTGACTCCCACTTTGAATGATTTGTTACAGTCGTCTTGTTCTTTGGTGTTACACATGGTTGGTATTGTTTCCATGCAGATTAATAATCGGTCAATTCAAGACATGTACATATTTGGGGATCCACTACGAATTCCTATAATGATCGTGGAACGTGTAGCTAATGCTCCACGGCGCACTCTAAGTGAAAATTCTTACTTTAGAAATTTGGAACTGGTAGACTCACATAACTTGCTTGGTGGACCTGGCGCTGAAGCTGAAGCTGGTAAGAAGCAATCTGGTGGTGCGCTACCAAAAAATGGTCATGAATTGAAGGCTGTCATCTTTGTGCATGGGTTTCAGGCAAGGCTCGCTCTTTTATCTTTCCCCCAACCCATGCAGCTAGCTACTTTACAATCCAATGTACAAACTTGTGCTTTAATTAAAAATACACCATTTACCAAATAATTGAAAACCTGTTTTTTACCACATGCTGATTGAATTTTGTTTTTTTCCTTGCTACACCTAAGGAGCTGCTTCATTGCTAATTAATTTGTTTAACGCTTTGCAGCTTGCACCTTCAAATTGTTTCTTTAGAATGAATTTCCTTAATTTTCTTGTTTATCAGGTATTTGAATAAATTCTCCAAAAGAGAGTTTTGATGTTGGCACAATAGAGGTGATAAATGGGATGCAATTGTTATGGAATTTTGATTGCGTGTTCGGGTCGAATCTTCCTTTTTCTGTACAGTTAACACTTTATTTTGGAACCATAAAAAAGTGCCTTTGATTGGTCAATTTAGTTTTTAGCTGAGGCAAATATTTGAAATTTCCAAAACTTGAGCTTTTTACTTTTATTTTAAATGCTTGACCTAGACTATTAAGTAATGGCTTGGCTTCCATCATCTGAAAGTTTAAATTTAGCCTGGGTTCTTTTCTAACAATTTGATTCACTTCTTCCCTTCAGATAATTGGGAACTATGGGATGAAAATTGTTTTTGTAGATTAAACTTTATAAATAAATTATCTTTTTTTTTTTCCGTAAGGATTTGAATCTGTTACCATGAATTTATTGGTTTATAGTTTCATGCATGAATTACTTGATTGTTTGAGCCTGTTTCATCCACATATTTGTAACCTTCTGAAACCAAAAACCAAGATGTTCTTGAAGTGAATTCTATAATATTATTCATATACTGGGTAACAAATTTTATCTTATATCGTTCATTGTTTTTGCAATTGATTGTCCTGTGCTCCTGGACAATCTGTAATGAAGTCTATTATATTCCTCTTGTGAACTGTGTTCTAGTTTTATGCATAAATTGGCTTAAATTTTTTTGTCACACCTACAACACACCAGGGACACCATCTGGATTTACGCCTTGTTCGCAATCAGTGGCTTTTGATAGACCCCAAGATGGAGTTCCTAATGTCAGAGGCAAATGAAGACAAAACATCTGGAGACTTCAGAGAAATGGGACTAAGGCTGGCACAGGAAGTGATCTCTTTCCTTAAAAAGAAAATGGATAGAGTTTCAAGATCTGGTTTCTTAAGGGATATCAAGCTTAGCTTTGTTGGGCATTCTCTTGGAAATATCATCATAAGAACAGCATTATCAGGTAATATAATCAATGCAATGCAATGCAATGTCATGCCATACTTTTCTATTTATCTGTAATTTGACACTTGCTTTGTATTTTTGTATTGCCACAGAGAGCATAATGGAACCATACCTAAGATACCTTCACACATATGTTTCTATATCTGGCCCACATTTGGGGTATCTCTACAGCTCGAACTCTTTGTTTAACTCTGGGATGTGGCTTTTGAAAAAACTTAAGGGAACGCGGTGCTTTCATCAGCTTATGTTTACAGATGACCCAAATCTACAAAACACTTTCTTGTACAAACTCTGTGAGGTACTAAGAATCTTATTTTGTTTCTTTGATTGATTATAGAGAGAGATTACACTATAAAAAGAATAAGAAAAAGAAAAAGAAGTGATGATTAGGATCTGAAAAATAACAACTTCCATTTCTTCAAGCAGCCTGTGTGTGTGAAATTATAGCAGATGCTGACATCTACTTCTTGACTGAGTTCTAAAACTGTTTGTTTTGTTCTTTCAGCGGAAGACATTGGAGAATTTCAGGCATATAGTACTGCTATCTTCACCCCAGGTATATCATGCTATGCCTCAAAAGAAAACTTCTTGAAGGTCTCCAATTGTTTAGCCATTTCTGTTTTGTTTGCTAGCAATAGGCACATGACACATGAATGTTCTTACACTAAAATCTGTTTGCAATGGGGATCTATTTACTGGTCAATTGGAAATAAGGGGCACCATGAATTGGCCTTCTTTTGCAGTATGAAGGGCTAAATGTATGCTTGAGGATGAAAGAACCAAAAACACTAAAAGATACATCGGATTTCTTAGATGTTTGAAATAACCATGAAAGCACATATTTGACTTGTGTTAAAAGGAAATGAAAGCACAGGCTCCGTGTGAAGAATTCTTAGGCCTTGTTTGGTTTGCCAATTCCAAATGAATCACTTTTAATTTTATTTGAAATTGTACTTACATTTAACAGTCCTAATACTACAGAAAGGGAGTGATTTATTCCATTTCAATAAAATATCTCATTTCTTTTAGAATTGCAATCTTTGTTATTGGAATGGAATTTTCTTGACTCTGCATGGCCCGAACATACCTGTTGACGGGCTATTTCTTGAAATAACAGTGTCATCAGAATCATAGGTTCATACTTCAGTCTTCATTAAGTTTGCCTCTGCATTTAAAATCTTATCTACACTCTACAGTATTAGTTGCTTTAGATATACCTTGAAGCTCCATTTTGTGTATGATATCAATTTAACATGTGGTAGTTGTGATGAAAGACTAGTTTATTACCATTTTCTCAGGATGGTTATGTACCGTATCATTCTGCCAGAATTGAACTGTGCCATGCTGCTTCCATGGACCACTCAAAAAAGGGTAGGCTGTTCCTGCAGATGCTGAATAATTGCTTGGATCAGTTGCGAGCACCAACATCTGAGCATCGACTGTTCTTGCGCTGTGATGTAAACTTTGATACCTCTGCCTATGGCAGGAATTTGAACACAATCATTGGACGGGCTGCTCATATTGAGTTTTTGGAGTCTGATGTTTTTGCAAAGTTCATAATGTGGTCTTTCCAGGAACTGTTCTGTTAACTGGCACAAAAAAACTACCGTCCATTCCGCTTCAACTTTTCTAGCCAGTCTTTGGCTGGCAGTTGCTCCCTTATTGCTGGGCAACAGGGGACGAAAAAGTGGCCAGGTGTTGGCAATGTGATGTCCAAGAAAAGGCCATATCCTTTCATCTGGGCTGGGCAGATGCCAGAGTTGTTGGTTGCTGTGAATTATTGGCCTGAGGCTAATTCCACTTGAAGAAAGACATGGTATGTAAATATTGTTTCTGACACATGCCAGCAGGCCCACGATTTTTGTGCAATATTCAAGAGGGGGCCGGTCATCATCGGTTGGGATCTCAAGCTGCACAAAGCTTACCAGTAAACTTGCACTGAAGTTTTGAAGAATAAAAGTGTAATTATTTTTCTAGGTTAAACCAAGTTAGCTGGGCAATGGAAGCACTTGCTTTCATGGCTAGATAAATCCCAAAGGACATGCTTAGGCTTTTATAGATGCAATCTATACCAGATAGGAGGATTATTTTTGTAAGCAGGTCAAGGAAATGATGGTGAATGCTGGGTATATCTTAGATGCAGTTGGAATTATTTTGTTTACTACTTGCTGTTAAACATCTGTCCATGTCAATTCGAGTCCTATGTTCTCGCAAGGAGATAGCAAGAAATGAAATCTGGAGATGGCATGCCCCCTTTTCAAAGGTCTTCTTGCCAGTCCGCTTTGCAGACATCCAACAGTGTAAAAAGAGAAAGAAATGCATGGCACTGTACTCCGTCGGGTGTTCTGGGTTTTCGAAGGTATTTGGTACTGTTTTTGAAAAGTGTTTTTTAAAAAATTTGAATTTTTATTTTTTATTTTGAATTAATATATTTTTAATATTTTTAAATTATTTTAATGTGCTAATCTCAAAAATAATTTTTTAAAAATAAAAAAATATTATTAGTATATTTTTTTAAATGAAAAGTATTTTAAAAAATAATATAAAATAATTATATTTACAGTTCATTTTTTTTTTTCATACCAGAAATATTGCACTTTATTATATGTATTTTTTGTTCTTTTAAAATACATATAATTGATTTGAATATTTGAATAGCCAAACCTTGAACTCTTAGGATTATCATTTAATTTAAGTTGCTCATGATAAATTATATTTATCAGTGATATATTAAAAAAATTAAAATAATAATATGAGAATCATAAAGCAAACAATTTATTCTATTTATAGAAAATAATCCTTCTAGAAAACATCAAATATTAAAAAGAAAATAGCAAAAGAGAAGAAGGAACAAATAATAATCAAATTTACTTTTGTGCTCTCATCTTCCCATTTTTATAAACAAAAACACGTAATCTGTATTTCAACAAAAAGCCAAAACAATTATCAAATATAACGACACGTTTCAATTAGTGATTATCACTCAACCATTTTTAATGTGTACCAGATGATTATCATGTAATCTGGTGCGGATAAGATTAATTTTTTTAACATAAAAATATATTGAAGTGTTGCTAAAATATTTTATAATAAAAATAAATTTAAATTCACTTTATTAGATCGATTAGTTTAATTAAAAAAACAACTCATTAAATAATTACTAAAAATGTAGTTTGATTTATAAAAATTCAAGAAAATATTTTTTTTATAAAAAAATATTAAAAAGACAATATATTAGATTAATGCAAGTCAATATGTGAAATCTATGACTCGATTCGCAGGATTAAAATAACCCAATAAAAAATAAATCAAAACAAATCATGAACATCATTTTCAAACAATTCAATATTAAAGGATGAAATTAAAAAATAATTCAAATAAAACAAAGACCAAAACATAAACAATTTGAGTCAATCTAAGTTAATTTATCAAATCTGCAACTTAAGTTATATAAATGAGATAACTTTATAAAAAATAAATCAAAATAAAATATAAAGCTTAATTCTCAATTAAGTCAAAGTCGAAAGATAAAATAGAAAAAAAATCAATTAAACGAAATCAATTTAACATAAAAATATTATTAGGTGTTCTTAACATATTTTTTAGTTGAGAAAAAATTAAACCATGTAAAAGTTAATTCAATATGACCCGATCAACTTGACGAATTCAAATACGATCTAGATGACTGTTAAAAATATAGTTTGACCAACAAATTTTTTAGATGATATTTTTTTTAATATTAAGATGGAAACATATTTGATCGATTTAAGTCAACTTGTCAAATCCGTGATTTAGATTATGAGATCGAGATAACACCATAAAACAAATCGAAACAACTTATAAAACTTAATTTTCAATCAAATTAATATTGAAGGATAAAAAAAAAAAAAACAAACAACTTGAATCAACTTGGGTTAACTTGCTGAACTTGCAATAACAATCAATCTGAATTATGTGACTTAGATAACTCTATAAAAAACAAATAAAAAAAATTTATAAAACTCAATTATCAATCAATTACATATTATTTAATAATAAAATTAAAAAAATAATTAAATAAAAAAATAAGTTTGGATTAACTCGTAAAACTTATAACTCAATTAATGAAACTGATAATTTTATAAAAAATAAATAAATAAAAGTTTTTTTATTATTTTTTTGCTACAATATCTATACAGTTCAAGTTCAACAACCAGGTAAACATTTCTTTCCATGAAAACAATCACCCTCTGTCTTATGATTTGATTCAAGATTTGGGAAAAACCTCAAGGGTTTCTTCCTCAAGACTAGATGTCAACTGATAATATAACTATAGAAATCAAATTCAATTACTTGTTCGTTGTTTGGCTGACTATATATATTCTCTGTAGTTCATATGGTACCGCCCTAGCTAGTTTGACGAGATGAAATAACCTTAAAACTTCGTTGACAGATTCTTGGAGGTGCACTGAGAGCTGCTCATGGCGGGGTGTGCAGTCAGAGAGGAAGCTTTGTGCCAATTTCCGACCAGTACGTACAAGGACAAGCCGGAAAAGTCAGCTCTCAGCTGCAAGCTTTCGTTGAACGCCAGGAACCAAGAACTGGATTCCAAGTATGCTTTATTGATGAAGAAGAGAATAGAGGTAGCGAATAGGCTCGTCAAAGATCTAGGACGATGCTAAAGCAGAGAAACCACATTGATCTCTCGCTTATAATCTTTTATATGTTTAATGAGTACCGTATTCTAAAATATAATATCATTAATTTGAATTAAATAATAAAATTCAAAACCAAAACTTTTATAAAATTAAGTTAACCCCTTGTGCTGAAATCCAAGATGCAGAGGAATCTGTCAGTGAGAATGCTCTCTTTCTTTACATGTGGCCAAATGTTCTTTAACTATCTGTTGACAATGAGGATTTATTTGCTGAAGAACTCTGTGCTTAAAGGGCTCTCAGAGGCTACAAAAGAAACTCCTATTTCTATTTCTACACCCTTATGGAATTTGTTCGTCAGAAACGAGCTGATAAGGGTGGAAACAAGGTGCATTTTAAATGTACTTTCTTCTGCTTTCTTTCCATTTAGCAATATCGGATGATTCTGTGAATCGTCTACAGTATAACTTCATAAAGCCTGAAATGGAAGGCATTTTTCAGATATTCTTACCAAGCCTTGCATAAGAAGTGCGATTCAAATTTGGACGACATCTTATGATCAATATCTTCCCTTCTAACTATGAATAAATGCATCCATCAGTGAAAGATTCTATCCATCTAAGGAGATACTAGCAAGCTTGAAATTATTGTTTTAAGTTTTGACTATCAACTGCTAGTAATGATCATAAATGCTCAAGGAAGTGAAATTTGTTATTTCAGATATCTTAAATTTCAAGGAAAGTGATAGAATGCGATTTTCTTAATCATCTCCATTTTTACTTAGGTTTATATCAATGTTATCTTAACAAACTCTATATCCATGGCAACTGTAGGGTTCGGCTGTTGTTAAGGGTGGGAAAAGAGCTGGGTCAGCATCTCCGACCAATTCTGGTTCAAGCAATACCAAACGAGGCTCTGCTACGAAGAAGGTTTTTTTCCAGAATTATAGCCACAATCTGTTTCAAGCAAACGTTATCAGTGTTAGGAATTAAATGTGTTTGTTGTACCTTGTTTTTCTGTCATGATTTAGTCTGCAGTTAACTGATTGATAGCATGATTAGTTCTTGGCTTTAACATTGAATGAATAAATTATCTTGAAGTTCAAGTCAAGATGGCATAATTCTTGCTCCACTACGAAGACGCGGGTCATGAAATCATAATAATGTTGTAAAAAGAAAATTACAGCAAATTAATCATACAAAGACAAACACTAGACATATCATGAAGATCGTTTGAAAATAAACCTAATGCTTTAAAAAACATTAAACATGAAACCTTTCTTAAAAAATTATGTCCTACTCAAGTCATGGACTCTGAGGTTTAATAAGAATAATATTTTAATTTTTTTTTCTGAATATATAATGAAAAAAACTGAAAAGCGGGGGGGGGGGGGGGGGAGATAAGGGCTTTTACA